AAAAAAAAAAAGGGCCTCGGGTTTTCGTAGATCTATACAAACAATATCGAACGAAAACACCTTTTCATCGGCCAAAAGATTTTTTACTTTCAACTCAAAACAACACGATGGACGATAAATTTGACGTGCAAAAGATCAAGCGAACGAAAAGGTAAACAACTAATATACCTCGCTTTTATTTCTTGTTTCGAAATGTTGTACAAGTGTTCTGACTTTCTTTGTGATTGCTATGGTGACTTTCTGTGTGTATTCGTAGTAATCTCTCTGTGTCTAAACTTGTGTGCTTTACATAATATTTATAGCCCAAAAAAATGGCTATTTTTAGAGTTTAAATTAAAGTAAAACACTGATGTTGGTTGTTGTTGCTATTTCTTTGCGTGGCCGAGAGTCCCGGTCGTGAAGGCGAGACGTGCGGTGATGGGGGTCTTGCCGTGAAACTCGGTGTTGGCCGCGTGAAAAGGTAGCTGAAGCGGCGCTGACGAGGCTAGGGTTTGAGAGCATATGTTTAGGGTTTCTGAAAACCCCACACGTTTGGACTCCTACGTTTGGGTTGTGTACAGCTGGGCCTCGTGTAACAGGCCTGCAAATGTAACAGATTTGTGTGTAAATATGTATGCACCATATGTAATATATATATATATATATATATATATATATATATATATATATATATATATATATGTATATAAATTATAATGTAAATGTATTATATAATGTTAAAGGATAAAATTTGGTGTCTTCAGATACTATTTCTCTTCTAGTACCAATAACCCCAACCAACTATTTGATAGTTTTGTTTTTCTTTTCTCTCAAGTAGACTAGAAGATGATGGAAAATGGGGACCCATGCCATTACATGGAATCCCAAATTTTCTAGAACTACCCCACATTTTGAAATTTGCAGCTTTGATTAGACCATAAGCTGCTGCAATCTTAGTGTCCCATATTGTCTGGTATAATTACCAGGTTTTTTTAAAGGTTTCCTCAAGGCCTCATTATTAACATGATAGAGATTAGGATTTAATAATGTATTTGGTTGAGAAAACAAGCATTCTTATGACAGCTTGTGGGCCAAAAAAAGCTTACGTGTAAGCACTTAAACAAGATAATGTAAGGCTAAGAAACCTACTGCACCAGGGTCAAAACGGCAAGTGGTTGTTGCCCTGGCCGTCACCCCCAAAATTATTCATACTTTTCTTTTCGGTGCAAAGTGATGCTTAGGGTCCTAAAAGCCTTTCGACATGTCCATAAAAGGTCGGTGACAAGCCTTTGAAGTATCGTCCGTCGGACAATCAATCGATAAATTCTTGAACAGGTTTGATATTGAAACGTATAAGCAGTGACCGGAAGTTTCTTGCAGTTGAAATGAGTGGTTCGGAAAGAAGGTGATGTATATAATATGAATGGTGAAGATATTATGTAGGTGGTACAAGTGGGAATAAGATTACTCTTTTGACTGGATCCTTTTGGACGTTTAACTTCCATATTCAGCCGATCAAAGAGAAAAGAAAAAAGAAAGTTGCATAAGGTAGCCACAAACCATATTCATAGGTTTGAAAACTAGTGCACTCAGGGAAGAAAAATTACAAAAAGGGTCTCTTCATTTTTGTACGATGAGCTAGCTTTTTTGACATTTACGGCTCCTAGTGGTTGGCCAGACAGAAAGCGGCAAGAAAATCAAATCAAGTTTCCCTCATGAAATCAGAGTTTAGAATAAACTTTTAGGGTTTAATATTTCGAATGCCTAAAGCACAAGACCAGCTGTGGCTTGGGACCCAAGATTTTGCTTCATCAATGCCATTGAAACCGGTGTCAACTGCACCCACTTAAACTTGACTCCTCTCTCTTTTAATATTGTTAATTTTCTAGTTTGTAGTGGGAGAAGTCACCGCCCAATGAAGTTCCAGTCTGTTAATTAAATAAACAAATCAAAAGCTAAAATGGAGGGATTAAAGTCCAAATGTCTATGAACTTCTCAGTCACCATGATCCAATCAAAATCCACTGTTTACTCATATTCCAATCAAACTCCATCGCTAAAAGTATAGTTCGCGTGTTCCAACATTATTGTTGGGACCAGGTAGGGATAGATCGAAGATGACTTACAACAACTCTTGTTTTTATCAAAATTCTCATAGATGATATAAACATTTTCTTTATATTTTCTATTAATAATTTATTTTCTTTTTTAAAATTTATAGGTTTGTCGTTAATATATGACTTGGAACATTGTGATGGGGCCATCACCATCTCTTTCTTTCACATTTATATATAGAAATTAAACTTGATGTTGGTGGGTGGCTGTCTAATTATTTATTGATGTTTTTACATTCATTTTTGTACTATTTTCTCAACCAGTTGTGACCGGAAATCATTTTGTGTGATCCAACATGCAGTACTGAAAGAAATCTCGTGCTGGTTCACCAGATTGTGACATTGACAGTTGTTGATTTCTTTCCAAGCTAACACGTTTATTAAAAAGATCTCTAAGAAAGCCTCTCTAGGTGTGAAGTGCACCCATTTTTAGTATTTCTTTTAATTGATTAATATGCCAGAATAAAATCAATTTTCTCAATTTACAATATTTTAAAAAAAATCGTATATAACGATTTAAGAAAATTGATAATTGAAATTTTGAAATACCATCTACTAGGTGAACTCACTCGACAAGATATTATATTCTCGGAATGTTTGTGTCTGATTCTATTCTCGTAATTTTGTTTTCCACACTACTTTGTTTGTGTGTTTCCAGCCTTCCACCAAAGATATCAAACTGTACTCCTGGTAAAAACTCCCCCCCAACACTCTCAAGAATGGTATGAGAGACGAAAATTGAGGCTAAAATCGAATACAAACGTCTAGAAAAAAATAATACCATACCTATTAAAGTGGTTGACATTTAAGAATTTGAGCTTGTAAGTTCAAGTTCGAATCTTACCACCGTATTTTTGGTGGGTAATCGTTAAATTCATATATAAATCCCAATTTGATCTTAAATATATCCTGACTTTGAATTAGAGAGTCACCTATAACTTAAATTTTTTTGTAAAAAGAATGAACTAAACAACTTCAATGGTTAAGGGATTTGTGTTAACGACTTCACTTTATGTTTTTTCGCTAGAACACTTGGACATTAGTGCTCTTAGGAACATTATCAGTTACCATAATTTGCTACTATAGGAGTGCACTAATGGGTGTAAGGGCAAAAAATTGGAGGTATGTTGAAGAAATTGCCAGAAGCATAGCATAATCTTACATTGCTTAGAGTTAAGCCCATTGAAAATTTGAGCTTAGCTATTGGGCTTTTATTATTTTCACTGTATTCAGTTATTCAATATGCAAGCATCAAAGAAGGTTTAAGGCTGGTTGGCTAGTGGCTGGGGCGCCGTTGGGCTTTTAAATTTTCTGAAGCCCATTTTTATCGAATATTCAGATAATTCAAAATTAAATTTTAATTGAACTGTAACTAATTTAATTATCTATTTTTCAAATATTTTATTTGATATGTATATAGAAATCATCAAATTATTTCAGTGATTAAAGGTTGATATTTTTTTAATTCTGAATTTGAGTTGTTATGCCTATAAAATATGTATGCTATTAATGGTTTAAAAAGATTATGAGCAAATATAATGATAGATCTGAAAATATTTTTTAGGGATGACATATATATTAGAAACACAAATTTTTAAATGGAGTGGACAAAACTAATATTTAAAAGTGGACACTATCAATAAACAAAATAAAAAAAAATAGATAACCCTATTCCCATATGTAATGAGGTGATCGAGCAACGCTAGGTTGAGAGAAGCTTGCATGGAAGACCTCCGACAGTCAGAATTATGAATTGTCCACCGTGGGACTCGATCCCACGACCACAAGGTTAAGAGCCTTACGCTCTACCAACTGAGTTGGACGGACAATTCAAAAGTTGACACTATCAATAAAGTAGGTAATTAGAATTTCAGTGTAAGTACGTACCCACCCTCTAGTATATGTGAATCTACCACTGAACAAATATTATCTTATAATCACCTCAGGTAGGGACAGGGACATGGACAGGGTCAGGATTCCAATTTGAGGAGACAAAAATATAATTACTCATATAAAATAGAAGGAAAAATTAAAATAAATTAAAATTTGAAATTCTAATGTAATATTTTCTCATATATTTGTTAATAATAAAAAATGGAGGGGCAGTGATCCCGGAGACTAAACGTTGCTAATTAAAAACCATGTAATGTGGTATATATGTATTATCTGTCCTATATTTTTTCCTCAAGTGTTTCTTTAAACTTTCTTTTATAATTTTAGGCAATAATTTAGTGTCGTTGGCTCTATTTTTTTATTTTTTTTATTTAAATTTACATAAATACTTTTTAATGTTAATTTTTTTACATATTCTTGAAGAGTTTATTTATCTGTTTATATAACATATTTTTTTCTATTTTATGACAATTTTATCTATCATTATGATAATTTAACGTTCCGTGTTGCATTCGTCATGACACACATTCTAATCATGAAAAATCAATAGTATAATATAGTTAAATCATCTTTTGTAACAGTTTGTCAAAGAAATTAAAACTATTCACAGAATAATATATTAAATTAGTTCTCTCAATCTCAATCTCCGTGTTTCTATTAATATTGTGTTTAATTTTGAATAGAAACAAAAAGATTATCCATAATTGTTGTATTAACATTGATTCTCTCCCTCTTTAAATTTTTATTTTGAATTGTGTTACTTTTGTTGTACCTTGACTTTTGTTTAATAAAAATCTAATTTATTATTAAAAAAACATGTAATGTGATATAAGTTAAAATATTTAAATAATTAGTTGTTATTATATAATTTAAATGTTAATTTAATAAAACTAAAAAATTAGTAGTTTTTCAATGATTGACATTAACAAAGGGATGTCGTTCTGACGTGATGCACGCCATTTCTAAACTTATAAAGCCAAACTCTGTCACATCTTTCTGTTTTGTCTCTCAAATTTCGGAAGTAAGGGCGGCTCTTAAAACTTAAAGAGAGAGAGGCATGATGGTAGACACACAGGAGGAGAAGAGAATGACAGAGAGTTTAATACCCAAATTAGAGGTGGAGGAGAAGAAGGTTAAACCCTGGCTATCATGGGCTCCTTTCGCCGGAGAAATAAAAAGGGTGGGTTACCTTGCGGGGCCTATGGTGGCGGTGACCATATCGCAGTACCTCTTGCCAGTTATATCAACGATGATGGTGGGTCATCTTGGTGAGCTTGCGCTTTCTAGCTCTTCCATTGCCATCTCTCTAGCCGGGGTCACCGGCTTCAGTTTTCTTGTAAGTCAATTTGCATTTTTCTTCTACTTAATCAACTTGTCATATTATCATACCGATAGTGATGTTTGAACTTATAATGTCCTCAATCTCCAGCACTCTTTGTTTGTATGTTCCTAGTCTTTTACTAGGCAATTAGGTTTCCTTATTTAACATGATTGTATCCAATTAGAAGTTCGACTCTGACTCCACCTAAACATACCCATATAGAGTTAAAGAGTTCACTCGTGTGGAAATTCATGTCCCCTTTTCATATTGTCTCTTTGTGTTTGGATCTCTCGACTTCAACCACATGCTTTCCCTCCATCTTTTATTTACAAGTTTTTTTTTTAATGTTTTTGGACCTTTGGGGCTTATGTTGACTTGAAAAATCTTTATTTATCAGTTAATCCCTTGGGCAGCAAGTATGTGTGTTGACAGAAATTCCTTCATGCTTTTTAACTTGTAGTTATTCTGTCACTATAAGTTTAACAAATTAAAGAAAGAAGTACAATAATTGAATGATTGGTTTGCCGCTGAGTTTAGACCAGCTGATGAACTGAGTTTGGATTACTCAGTTGTCACCACTATCTGAACTTATAGAATATCAACGAACTGAATTTTGTCATTTGTATGAGATTATCAGCTAGGAATGGCTAGTGCATTGGAAACGTTGTGTGGACAAGCTTATGGAGCTCAACAGTACCGAAAAGTGGGAATCCATACCTACACTGCTATATTTTGTTTGATCATAGTTTGCATCCCTCTGTCCCTCATATGGCTATACATGGGAAGGTTACTTGTGTTCATTGGTCAAGATCCCTTAATTTCACACGAAGCCGGTAAATTCATTCGGTGGCTTATCCCGGCACTATTTGCCTATGCTACTTCTCAACCGCTTATTCGCTACTTTCAGACACAAAGTTTGATTACTCCCATGCTCATATGCTCTTGTTCCAGTCTTTTAGTACATATACCTCTATGTTGGGCTCTGGTGTTCAAGTTTGGATTAGAAAATGTAGGAGGAGCATTAGCAATTAGTATCTCAAACTGGTTAAATGTGATTTTCCTTGCACTTTATATGTGGTACTCTCCCGCCTGTGCAAAAACTCGTGTCCCCGTTACAATGGAATTATTCCAAGGAATTAGAGAGTTTTTCCGTTTCGCAATCCCTTCTGCTGTTATGATTTGGTACGTTCTTTCTTCTCCTCGCATGAATATATGCCTAAGCTGTTGAAGATCCGTAATGTCTTCTTTATATTCAAACAATTGCAGTCTTGAATGGTGGTCATTTGAGCTACTTATCCTGCTGTCTGGGCTTTTACCACATCCAGAGCTGGAAACATCCGTCCTATCCGTGTGGTATGTTCATTTGCTATCATTTCGACTCGATGCATCTGGTATCCTCCAATACTTAATGGATATTGCAGTCATATGATTTTTCAATTGCATCATATTGGAATTCTTCTACTACTAAGTTTTTCTACTTTCCCAAGCAGTCTCAACACCATTTCAACACTTTATGCCATACCATATGGACTTGGTGCTGCAGCAAGGTATATCCTGATATGTTTGTACATACTTATTTTTGTATTTCGTTTTTGATCAAAATTGCAACTTTTTCAAACCAAGTTAATTCAACTAAGAATCATTCTCTATTTGTACAAATAGTACTAGAGTTTCGAATGAACTAGGGGCAGGGAACCCCCAAGCAGCGCGTGTGGCGGTGTATGCTGCTATAGCTCTTGCAGCTTTAGACACCCTTATAGTTTCTGGAATCCTGTTCGCGATCCGAGATGTTTTCGGTTATGTTTATAGCAATGAGAAGGAAGTGGTGGATTCTGTGACAAGCATGGCTCCCTTGGTTTGCCTGTCTGTTATTCTTGACGGCTTACAGGGGGTTCTTCAAGGTCAAACTCGCTATCTTTTTGGTGAAAAACTATACTTCCAAGAGATGAATGTTACAGTGGCAGTCTTACAAATAGTTACATGCTTGGATCAGGTGTTGCAAGGGGAAGTGGATGGCAGCATATAGGAGCTTATGTCAACCTCGGAGCATTTTATCTTGTCGGGATCCCTGCCGCTGCCACCCTTGCCTTCTGGCTACAGTTGAAAGGTATTGGCCTGTGGGTCGGTATACAGTCCGGTTCGTTAACCCAAAATATTCTGCTCGCCATCGTTACAAGTTGCGTAAATTGGGAAGAACAGGTAATACTGCAACTTAACTTGATTGACATCTTCGTTTGTATACTGTAAATTGCACCTTTTAGTACACTGTTAACACTGAACTGCCTTGAAAGACTTCAATTTTGCTTACTTGCTTGGTTTAGTCTTCTTCATCATTTGTATTCTATTTTTTGGATTGTGCCAAAAAACTGCAGGCAAGTAAAGCAAGGGAAAGGCTATTCCATGGAAGCTCATCAATAGAGTACGGAACTATGTAAGAAAGCAGAATCAATGAGAGATCGTTTTGGAACACAGAAATTTTATTACCATAATATATGTAATATTATTAGATAAGTGGGAATATATACATTTGCACATCATAGTAGGATTGAAACAATTGCCTAATCTGGTGAAAAAGTTTAAGGACTTCTGTCAAAAGAATTAGATTGAAGAAATAATATCATTATAATTGAAAAGAGTATGCCACTTTAACTCCACTGGGGCGTATTCCTTCCATGGCTTTCCGATAATCTGGTGAAAAAGTTTAAGGACTTCCATGGCTCTCGATCTAAAAGAAGAAAACTATGACAATTCTCTCTTGATAAAAAGGAGAAAGCAACTTTAAAAAAAACTCTCTAATTTCTCCAGTAATGGAAGAAAGTTTGAGTGATTTGGAATGGTTTTGAAACTAAATAGGTTAGGGTATTTACAGTTTAAGCTTAAGGATTAATTTTGAAAACACCCTAAAGTGTAGGGACTAAATGAGTAATTTTTCCATGCCAAATTTCCAAACAAATTGCAGCAGCAAATCTTGAATTTTTACGCTGTTGTAATTCGGTGCATTAATGCACTAAAAATCACCTCCTATTTTTGACTTTCAGCAGATAGGGCATGCTATATGCCATCCGAGGCAACTATAAGCCTCCCACCAGCATTTGAAGAGGTCATCATGAGTTCGACCGGAGGAGACGGTGGAGCTATCTAATGTTGAGCGGTATAGTAATTGCTGTTCATGACGAGGCCGTCATGAGAATGCGTGGGGAGAAGACAGAGCCCCTTTAACAATCAATAAGAAACATCAGCAATTTCGTTTACAAAATTTATATGTATGCGCTTCAATTTCGAATGAGAAAGTGACCATAACATCAACAAGAACATTGCAGAAGCTCCAACAAGGCTTAACGGACAGCCACGACGGAAGGAACCTCCCCCTCCATTGGCTTCAACTAATAAAAGATCGGCTATCTGTTGATTTATGGGGGTGATTCCAGCCCCAGCAAGAACAAGAAGAAAAAGAACAAGAAATGTAAGAAATAGATAACCCCATTCACCTTTCTTGTTCTTGTTGGGGGCTGGGATCACTCCCATGAATCATAAGCTTGAATGCAATACGGTGATGGAAGCATCAGTAATGGTATGCAAATACCTTCTCATCAATCAACTCAATACTCTCTTAAATCATATCAGTTATCTTCTTCTCCTCCTCCATCCCTTTAACAGCCAACTCGTTCAAACTCACAGCATTCTTTATATAATTGAAAATGCATAAACACAAAGAATTGCGTATCATTTGTGGAAGTAAGGGAGAAGATTCAACATGTATATATAAAGAGTTTAAGTTCTTGGTTTCATCCTTGAAATAATAGTTATTGTAAATGAATTCTTGGTAGATGTTGCAGTAGGGGGGGGTCAACGTACATAGTGTTTACTTCAAGCTCTATTTTTCAATACGGAAAAGACTTGAATATTAACTTTCTACACGTGTACTTGAGTCATTGAAATTGAAATAAGAGTACTCGGGTCCATCCTTGGTTCAAGAATCACATATAAATAGAGTTATTCTCAAATCCAATTTGCCCGTTGGTCGTTAATGCAATTTGGAACCAAGACACCTATGCTTTAGAAAATTAGGGTAAGCATTCAATCGAGTTAAATCGAATCAAAAGATTTCAAGTTATATGAGTTGATCAGTCATAATTTATAACTTTGAACCATTGCTATCTTTCTTTTTCTTGTTTTCTCTATTATATAATTAATTCTTAACGTAATTTTAGTTATATAAACATCATTATCCGAATAACCTTAAAATAAAATAAAGATAATACAAAACAAAATAAAACCAAATACTTGTAATTATATTGCTAACATCAAAGCTCAAGATTGTTTAGCATGTAAAAGTTGGAACATATTGGAAAATTCCTTGTACAACATAACATGTACTGTTTTTGTTCTTCGAGTTGAAACAAACTCTAATTTGGTCATGCCTATGCTCCTCTTCTCCTCCATTGATTGTGTGTGAGTAGTGGCATTCTTTGCCATCGCCCCCACTCTGGATTTGAGTCTGCTACCCTTTGCCTCTTCCTTGTAAACTCTGCTTCACCAACATCAACCTTCTTCTGTTGTTGCGTCTCATTCTCTGCTGGTGGATCCTTCCTTTTCATGGCGGCAGCACCTGTACTTTCCGCATTCACGATTCGATCGATGGTATCTCTAAGAGTCTTATTTGGCAGAATATCATCGACCGTTATTTTCCTCCGGCAGAGACAATCGGAGTCGGAGACGACGCGTTCCCATATACACTTATCACAGAAACTAGCGAAACAACACTTTGTCAAAGAGGCATTCTTCATTATGTTCTCGCACAACCGACAGTGCAATTCGGGTGCTATCTTCTGATCAACTGGAGTGCCATTACTGGAAATCGAAGAAATCCCAGAACTGTTTGAACTCGAGACAGACATCTTCGAAATCGTGTTAACATTTTTGAAATCAAAGCTAGGGTTGCCATTGGTGGGACAGTGTTGAATGCAATGTCCGGTCACATTACATCGATAGCAAACGTATCCCTGTGGTGGGATTTGGCTCTTTTCAACGAAACCCTTAATGAATCCTTTTTCAGTTGCAAACTTAAACCCAAGATTGATTTTGTCTTCTTTGCATTGGGTGTTTCTTGGATTAACGATTAGGGTTTCAGGGACTGGATCAAAATCAAGTCCAAACCCCACGTTTTCTTGAAGATCTTTCGAAGCAGGTGATGGATTGTTGGGAGTCTTGGGTTTTCTTTCGCCGATAACAATGGGGAACGAAGGCAATCCAGGAACGCGACGAATCGAAACGGAAGAATTCGCGTGGATCAACGCCGACTCGTCGGTGAACTGTTGATCACTTTCGGCGTCGCTGATCAACAAATCGAAATCCTTGCCGTTGCCGTAACGATTGGAAGCAATGATTTCGGCTTTGAAATCATGAACTGAGATGAACCGATCATTAATGGGATAAGCATGGAGGAGTTTGGAGCTCTTAAACTTGTAATACACGAAAGCCATAGCCGTTATGAGTTCTTGGAGGAAGTGTTTTCGGTTTGGGTTTGGGTTTGAATTTGAACTTGATAGAATAATCAGAAATTGGGTTTATATTTTTGCCATTGCACTTGGTTTTTATAGAAAGAAAAATGAGAAACTTACCATCCAAGAAATATTTAGCTTTCAGTTTCATTCGGGCTTCGAGTAAGTTTTGATAATATATATTGAATTTATTTTATAATTTTCCTTTTAATTTACTAAAATTAATTGGCTTTCGTTTTTTTCTTAATATTTAAAATGATAATTAATATTTTTGTAAAATTTTAAATTATATATATTATACAATTGCAATAATTTATTACATGAATGTTTTTAGGAAATAATTTTATTATATGTGTGTGAAAATTCTACAATCACAACGCACACCGCAACACATCACTAAAATGATACACCAAAATACACTATTAATTAAATTGTACTTATTAAGTAAATATTAAAATGCTAAATTAAACATTTTGTACTTAAATTATCACTTTTGTTTCGTTTTAGTATTTAAACTTCAATTTTTTAAAATCATTAATGAAAAGCTTATTTGGTAGACATGTCAATTTTTTTAATTTTTTTGATTACTACATCATATTTTTTTTTATTTTTCAGCATTTTTTTAAATAATTTTATTCATCTAATTATGCGGTGAATTAATCTTGGGTCTCTTACATAAGAAACAAAGAACTCAACCATTGAGCAAAGCTAGTCATTTGGATAAATTCCACTACATTATGTATTTAACTTATATAACGATATCACCACAAAATCAATATTTTTAGATGATTATAAAATTCAAAAATGAGAAACTTTAAATTAGTCACCAAGAGCTTAGTCACTCAACTATAGTGTGGATTTTTTTTATTATTGTAATGAACTTAATACTTGCTTATATTATTATTAAGTTAAAAGACTAATTTTTCACTTTATTTAGAAATAAAAATAATTAAATAATTAATATATTTTTATATAAAATAATATGAAACAATTATAAAAAAGTATATTTATAATATTATAAAAATATTTATTTTTTTAAAATCAAATTAATTATTTATTTGAAATATTATTTTTAAATTATTTATTTATTTTTAAATAATTTAAAATTTAGGGTAAATTATGCATTTAGTATCCAACTATTCATGTATAATATTATTTAAAATTAAATAGATAATTTTAAAATAATATTATTTAAAATAATTAATTAATATTATTTCAAATAAATAATATGATTTTAAAAAGTAAATAAATATTTTCATAATATTATAAATATACTTTTTAGAATAATTTAATATAAATTTATAAATATATTTAAATATTTACTTAGTTATTTTTATTTATAAATAAAGTGAAAATTATTCTTTAATTTAATAATGATACAAGTAAGTATTAATTTTATATGATAAAAATATATTCACATTATAGTTGAATGACTAAGCTTTCGATCTTTAATTTAAAGTCTCACACATTTGAATTTTATAATCATAAAAAATAATGATTTTGTGGTGATAATATTATATAAGTTAAATATAAAATATGGTAAGATTAACTTAAATAATTAGTTTAGTTCAATGGTTGAGTGTCTTGCATTTCATTTAAGAGGCTTGTGTTTAATTCATGCTAAGTGCAATAATACTTTATTTTATTTTATCTACATAGTTGGTGACACGTGTCACCATTTTAATTCATTGAATAAAATTAATTAAAAAATATTGATAGATAAATAGAAAAATGATGTGGAAATAAAAAATTAAAAAATTTGACATATCATGCCACATCAATATTGTTGTTAATGGCTTTGAAAAAAATAAAGTTTATGTACTAAAGCGAAACAAAAATGATAGTGTAAATACTAAACGTATAATTTACCCTTTTAATATTTACTTAATTAAAACAATTTAATTAATTGTGTGTTTCGATGTGTCCCTTCAGTGATGTGTTGTAGACTTATCCTCTCTCTCTATAGACAAAAATATTTTAAATTAATTTTAACAAACCTTATTTACATTAGTTTTCATATCATTTTCATGTTTTTGGTTATTTTTATATTAAATAAGGGTTGTATGATTATGAATAGTTTTAAATTATCAAATTTATAAATTTAGTTAATCATATTAGGTAACTCTAAATCTATCTCATAAATTATATAATAAGTAGTTTTAATAAAAATAATAATAAATACTTCCACATTTCATAAATAAATACTTTTTATTGGCTTTTTCATATTCATATTTACTTTTCAAACATTTATTTTTATTCATAAATAAATACTCTAAATCTAGGCTCAAGGAAAATGTAGTTGAAGTTTGTAGATACCGTGATAGGATCATGTTGATTAAGGTTATTATAGAAGCGGAAGTGGTGAATGTCCTCTCAGTGTACGCCCCACACGTTGGCTTAGGGGAGGGGGAGAAACGTTGCTTCTGGGATCAGTTAGATGATGTACTTAGGAGTATTCTGGAGGCCCAAAGAGTTTTCATAGGGGGATACTTCAATGGCCATATAGGTAGTGCAATTGACGGGTATGACGGTGTTCATGGGGGTTTCGGTTTTGGTACTAGGAATGAGGAGGAGCGTACGTTGCTTGAATTTGCTACTGCACACGATATGGTGGTCACTAACTTTTCTTTAACAAGAGAGATGTGAACTTGATTACATTCCATAGCCCAAATCGACTACATCTTGGTTCGAAATCGGGATCGATGGGCTTACATTGACTGTAAGGTGTTCCCTGAAGAGGCATGCGCATCACAACACAGATTGTTAGTTTTGGTGTTCCGCGTACGCCACGGGTGGAGCACTCATAGGAGGGCTAAATTTGGTAAACCTAGGATCCTTTAGAAGAACTTACATGGAGCGACATCTGATGACTTTAGGAGTAAGGTGTTGTCAAGTACAGGTTTTGGAACTACAAACTCAAATGATGCAAATATGTTATGGAAAAATATGGCAAATTTCATCAGAGAGGTGGGCAAAAACACCCTTGGGTTATCGACAGAGAAGGTCAAGGAACATAATGTTGAGTTAATCGATCGACGGAATCGGCCAAGAGGGGGGTGAATTGGCAATTAAAAATTTCGTGGAAGCTTTTGCAGAAAAATTGAAAGTAATTGCACAGCGATTTACAGTGGTTCGACTTTCTCAAACAAAGTCTACGTCCACTACCTTAGCTATCCACACTAAGGATTTTCCAACAAATTCACTAATTTGTTCTTTCTTTTGAGGCCAAAGAGATAACCTTACAAAATCCCTCAAGAGTATACCCCAACTCTTGAGAACACTCTTTTTCCCAAAGAGAAGATTACAAATTTGCAAACTTACAAGAAAACCTCACAAGGTAAGATGTTTGCACAATTCTAGAACAAGAAAAGAACACTCAAAGATAATTACAAATGAGCACAAATAGTGTTCTTGAAAGCAAAATGAATATTGAAAGGAAAAATTGGCTTGATTTGCACAAACTTGATGTTTGATGCTTTCTCTCTTGTTTCTCTATGATTTCTTGTTGATCAAGGGCTTCAGAACTTGTTTAAATACACCTTGAATCTCTTTTGAACGTTGGGGATGATTAGTGAAGATCATATAGCCGTTTTAGTGTGAAAACAATTAATAAAACAGTTTGGAGCGTGGGGGGAATCAGTACCCCCTATGGGGAATCGGTTCCCTAAGTGTAAAATTCAAATATTTCGACCATTGAACAGGGGGGAATCGGTACCCCCTATGGGAGAATCGGTTCCCTCCGAGCATTCTGGAAATCTCGGAGCCAAACCATTCAGGGGGGAATCGGTACCCCCTTGGGGGGGGAATCGGTTCCCTTTGAGCAATCTGGAATTTTTGGCTTTGAAATGGTTCGAAATACTTTGAAAGATTATTTTGAAATTGTTTTAAGATTAAAACTTAATTTTACACTTAAGTAAGGATTAAAAATGATTTTTGAAATATTTTGAGTAATGTTTTGATATTCGAATAATTATATCGAATATACTTAGAAAATCATTTTGGAAAATCTTAAAATTCATTTAACTTAATTTGTTATATCGAAATATCAAAATGTTTTCAACAATCTCCCCCTTTTTGATATAACAAAACATTTTAGTAATTTTAAGATTTTGAAATCAAGTTTTGAAATTACTCCCCCTTACTTTAACACTTCTCCCATTTATCATTTTAAAAAACACACTTAAAACACACTTCTCCCCCTTTTTGTTAAATCAAAAAGATTCAAATAAACGTGAAAAATATTAAGCCAATTGATTAGGTATATGTATGCATAAGCTGCTAAGATCACAATTAAGAGAAACGTTAGCCATTAGTTCCGTAATCAATATTCATAAATAATGTGATATGGCAAAATTGGTCATATTGCTAATAATGATGTAAATGATGCAATAATAAATAAATCACACCAAACATATAAGTTCCAACCATCCATAAATCCAAACAAATTCACAATCCTCAAATTCAAACATCCCAAAATATTCAAAATGTTAAAACAATAAGTTTGGAAAACAAAGTAAAACATTTAATCATATATCCGGATTAGGAGGAGGAAGAGGTCATTAATACGTGCGTTGGTTGCTTCATTATTTGCACGCATTTCCCGAAGAATTTCTAATTGTTGAGCTCCCATTGTGGATAAATGGGACTCTATAGAATTAAAGCGCGAATCCATGGTCGCATATCGGTAATCAAATGTCTCCATAAAAGATTGAAAATATGGAGGCATTTGAGTCGATTGTTGTGCTTGCTCTTCGGGCTGCTCCTCGGCCTGCTCAGGTTCATCTTCAGCTTCATCGATGTCTCGCATTAGTTGCTCAAGCTCGAGATCTTCGTCAGTTTCGGGTGGAGCTTGTGAAGAACTAGCTCCCGGAGTAGTTGCAGAAGATCGAACCCATTCCCCGATTTCCTTATCCTTAATCCATCCCGCTCTCGTTAAGGAAAGAAGGTTAATTTGTTTCTTAAGAGGAAAAACGGCATCTAGA